ACGCGGCAACGGTACTGCATGCCGTTGAGCTGACCCGTTAAACATCCCCCGTTAATCGAAAAAGCCGAGTATCGCATGAGCGTGTCGCGAGAGACTGAAACATTTCCCAACGGACGGATTACAATCAGTCGACGAGAAGTCGCGCGCGCGCGCGCGCTTTGATTCCCCGTTAATCAGCCGTACGGTAGCTCCCTTATTGAAACCGCCGCCGCCGCCGCCGAATCCGCGTTTATCCCTTGGCGATTTTTTCTCTCGCCGCGGCGAGAGCTGAATATTGGATGCCGGCGACAACGATCTCGTAAGATCAGAAGGGGTATAAAATAATAATCGATTTCATGGATGGAACATCGCGCGGCACGTCGCGAGGGACTTCGACGCCTGGAAAATTCCTCGTGCGATTTTATATGAGACCGAGAAAATGACCCCCGAGACTCCGCGAGGATTATAGTTGCGTGTCAAACCGGCCGGGATGGCGGCATATCGACGTATCCGCTTTATATGTTGCGTAAAATCATCGTATCTCGTAAACTATCCCTCCCCCTCCCACCCCCCGATCTCGCGCTGCACGTATGACGGCACGTATGATCAGTGGATATCCGACAAATACGGACGCGAGGATGCCGCTGAACAAAGCGGCGACGACGACGCGCTTTTGCGATGCAGCGCTTAATACGACGACACTGTCGATAGCACAAGCGGCGCTGAGTTGCGATAACTCAGCAGCCTTTGCGAAGTCCGAACGGCGCGCGCGCGCGGTTCTGCATTCCGCAACGGTAACGAACGAGCGCGAACGAGCGCGCGCTGGCTCGGCTCTCGTAAATCGCGGCGCGCGTCTCGCGAGGCACGAGAGTAGTTACCAATCGAGAACTATCTGCGCATCGGTAAGCCCTTATCACGGCTCACAATTGACTCCGCAGACGGCATTTAACGGCGCGTTCCCGCGGCGCGGCTCGTATCTACGCGCTCGTCTCTGCCTATTTGTCTCGTCGCATGACAACGAACTCAGGCCGGAATTTCCCGTCTGCACCGGCGGAACGTATACGTACGGCGATAAAGGCACTCGGGGTATGGCACCCTCCGGCGGCAGAAGTCGGGAGACTCGATCCCGGGGGACAATGCTCGGACCTTCCACTTCTCCTCTCGCTCGTGCCCCCTTTCTCTCTCTCTCTCTCTCTCTCCCTCTCTTTCTCTCTTCCTACCATTCCAGTGCAGGACCAGTAATACACGCACGTGATTCCCGTGTAGCCCGAAATGTGTGGCAAAATGGAATTTCTACCGAGGAACTTTGCTCGCGTTCCCCCGAAGCGGCGGTCGGATAACATCGGTGATGTATGACGCCGAGTTGACGCGTCTGTGATACGCGCGAGTGACTTCGTTGTGCCGGGGCTCGCGAGGGTGTCATTGCCGCCTGTCCAACGTTGTGCGTCGGCGATCGGGATCGTATTGTTAACGGAGCGGAGCACCAGCACGTCGGAGTCTGACCGAAGGCCCGAGAGAGAGAGAGAGAGAGAGAGAGAGAGAGTGCACGTTTTATAAATTACGTGGATTTTCCAATGTAGGTTACGCGAGGGAGGCCCACGCGGTCCGATTGGTCGCGCTGTTGAATTAGAAGCGCAGCCCTCTGGCTTCCTCTGCATTTTATTGTATATCGTCGCCGGACGGGAGCAGCAGCGGCGACGAGAGGCGCATCGACTTTCGGCGATTCTGCTCCGAGGTTGAAATAAGTCAACGAGACGGCCGCACGTGCGAAGGGGGTGGCCTCGATTCTCGACTTCGGGAGTCTTGAGAGACGCGAGAGAGAGAGACGGAGAGAAAAGACGCGAGTTCGATCTGAGCGCGATTCTCCTGCTCCGGATAGGGGACTTCTCAATGCGACAAATCATTTCGCGCATGCAGCTGCGCGAATGCATTTGCAGAGATAATGCAATTCGCTTCGCCGAGGGCGGAGAGTTTGTGTGCCGAAACCGAAAACCCGCGTTGCACGCGGGTTAATTCACTTGGCACTTGGCTTTAACTGAGGCTAATTAAATATTTCTATAGAGGTGAGACAGAGAGACAGAGACAGAGAGAGAGAGAGAGAGAGAGAGAGAGAGAGAGAGAGCCATTTATTGTATCGAGCGGCATACATTCGACACATTCCGCCATCGGAAGTGCTGACCAAACCACTCGCTTTGAACCTCTCAATCGATGCGATCGTAGTAATGAACTCGCGGTTAACATTAATGCGCGCTCAACGGGTAAACTTATTTCGCGGCTCGGCACACTTTCAATATTTCTCCCTCACCTCGCGTGAAAGTCCCGGGCCAGAGTACATTATACTCACGAATGATAACCGCGCGAAGAACGTAATTCTCGCGTAGCGCGCAGGAGTCACGCGATTGTTCGTCGATGATCTAAGTACACTCGCGTCTGCTCGACATGATGTTGGCGACCCACTGTGTGCTTGCGTGTGATAAACTCTCAGCTTTTTTCCCGACGGAATATCGTGCGCTCTTTCCCTCTCTCTCTCTCTCTCTCTTTCTCTCTTTCTCTCTCTCTCTCTCTCTCTCTCTCGCACTCTCTCTGCTTCTCATTGTCTCTATCTGTGTACTCGAATTACCGCGGGCAAAGCGTTGATCTTTGACCCGCGAGCCTCGGGCTCGATTATCTTTCTACGTGCGTGCTTTGCAAATCGGTACAATGTGTCGGCCGCATGTACGTCGAGGACGATGGGGGTGAGAAAGCGAGTGGTTGTGCGCGCAGGCAAAGAATTCTCTCTCTCTCTCTCTCTCTCTCTCTCTCTCTCTCTCTCTCGGGTCACCGTATACGTCGGCGTACATTCGCCGTCACTCGCGCGTTCATATTATACACACGTTGTTTAATCACACAGCGCCGCCTCTTACATGGATCGCGATATCACGATAGATGGCTGACTTATTGAAAAAACAAGGGATGAATCTGCCTGGCTGGCGCACCCGGAGGCTTTCATTTCGGATTACAATGGCACGATAGAGAGCGCGCAAACATGCATATCCGATATCGGTGGTCGCGCGTCGGAGGCATAATTGTGTAGGAACGAACGAAACGCAGGAACGCAGTTAATTGCGCGTTACTTCGGCGCGATGTTGGACGCGCGCGCGCGCGCGCGTTGAAAAAGCCGAGGGGGGAGGACGGAAATTTCGATGATCGGAAGTTTCCGCAACGTTTCCGTGGAATTTGACACCGCGCCGAGAACGAATGAGAATTCTCTCATTCGTTTCAAAATCCGCATAAATCAGAGAATCAGCGCTCGGAGCGCTGGCCGCTGCCGCTTCTTGTTCGTTGTGCGTAAAAAGTTATAACGATCCGGCCATAATATTAGGCCAATTGTGTAATTTTGACAAATCTCGTTAGCGATACGGCGATAGTGATTTTGCTTTTTGCAAAGCACGTGTAACGAAGGATAGTTTGCGCGCTAAAATTTGTACGGAAATTGCGAAAGAAAGTTCCCCTGAAACGAAAGATATATATATATACGATTATATATATTAATGCTGACGCTAAAAGTCAAGTGTTCGCTCTTAAACGAACTTGAGCTGGCTCCAAATTTAAGTACGGAATTTCTTTGGATTTGTGTAAAAAAAGGCTTTTAAAGTTTCTCAAGATTTTAGACAATTCCCTTAAAGTCGAAAGGTATGCGGACAAGTAAGGGAAGGTGTAATAATATGCGACAGCTTATCTCTAATTTTCGAGAACGTAGCATTTCGAGAACTCAGGAGTATAATCCTTTCTTTCCGAGAATTAAGCAGTTATTGTTTGCTCGTAAGCACGCCCTCGCGAACGGTCACGAGTCACGTACACACAGAATGGTCGAGTCCCGCAGAAATCCTTAAAATTATGTGCTCCCCTAATTGCCGCGATTATTTCGCGATGCGTTCAATTTGCGCGAAACTTTGTCGATTCCAATTACTTACGTGCGACTAATCACTATTATTATTTTGAAAGAGGGAAAATATTTGCGGGCTAATAAAATGTCGGAGATATTCCAACAATTTTCAAACAATCACACTTCGTTTGTGAATTTCATCAGTTTCGCCAGCACCGACATTTATGGAACTGGCAAGTTTCTATCTAGTAAATTCAACAAAAATCATCCCGCGCGCTGCAAAACAAATCGGTATTGGGTGACAAATATCCGAGTGACACTGCCGCGTCGACGCGATCAGTGGCGCAAAGTGGATCGACAATTATGCTTCACGGCCCGTCAAGCTCTCCACGACGATGGGGGAAGCTCGAAGCAGGGACGGTTGAGCTTCAAAGCGGAAGGTCGGCGAATAATCGTAAATTATGCATGACATCAGCTAAGTGAGGAATTCTAATAATCAACCGCGCGCTAACCCTTATTCCTCTCATGTGTCCCGGTAGAATCCAAAATTAATGAAATACACGCCGAACACGGTGTCCAACTTTCGCCGCTAATTAAAACGTCGGTTCACCGACGAGAGAACTTAAACGCTCTCCGCGGCAGCTGAGAGGGCTCGAAAGCGAAATTCACGAGACGCGCCGCGACGCGCCGCATCTTGAGCACTAAAAAATCTGATCGCTTCCCTTGTTTCTCACGGACGGAACGACCGATATCGACGGAAACTTCTTCACTTCAAGAACTGATTTACCCCGTCGATGGTCGAAATCGTGTCGATATCTTGCACCTTACTCGCTGTAACGGCGGTGGCGGACATCACCACCCTGAAACTTGCCGCGGGCGGTACAATCGCGACGAGTGCCGTGCAACAACTGCGAACTAACTGCATTCAAAGCGGCCGCGAGAACATGTGTCCTCCTACGACTGAGACGAGAAAGCGAGAAACTGAACGGAGGCCGCGAGTCAGTGGCCGCGCGCGGGTGTGACTTGCGACAGCAAGTCGACGAAGGAAAGGGGGTCGAAGAGCGAGAGAACGAGAGAGAGAGAGAGAGAGAGAGAGAGAGAGAGCAAAGTGGAGGATGAGGCGGGAAAGAGAAGAGAGAAAGCTGCTCTCACTCACCATCAGCAACTTGACCTTGTTAACCAAAGGGGACGTTGTAAGGAACTTGTTGACGGCCGTCAATATTTTCCCTTCCAACGTGGCAGCGCTTCCGGCGTCTCGTCCTCGCGAGCATCCGGGCCCGATGTCCGCCTCGCCGGGGCTGGGCAACAACTCCCGGCAGTCTTCCGGCCCGAGATCCCTCTTCTTCAGCTCTCCCCGCGGGCCCTCGTGGCTCTGCTCCCTCGTGCTCCGCACCCTCGACGATCAGCGCTCAGCACGTGTCGGCATCAGAATCGCAACCGTCTAGACCGCCGGCTTGGGATAACCTGCGAGCCCTTAGGGCATCCAGCGGGCATTCGATGCTCGCTTCTGACGCTTCCGTCGGCCGCTCTCTTCCGACAGGAAACTCACTAACGAGATCGCCGGATGCCTTCCGAACGTCTCGCCAAATTCGCGAAGACTTCCGTCTACGTGACGCACTTCCGTGACGCGCGCCACCAACACGGTACCAAGGGGACGGGAGGCCGGTACCAGCAAGGTGCAACCTTGCGGACTAGCTAACGCTGACTCTCGCTCGACACCGCCAGCCAAGGATCGGCCGAGGAAGTTGGCGAGGTTGAAGAGATCGCCTCGTCGTCTAGTGATTGATTCCAGCCGGAAGATCTCGCGCGCGTCACGAACGCGTCGTCGTCGCGACTCGACAATTCCTCTCCTCTTTCCTTTGGATTTCTCTCTCTCTCTCTCTCTCTCTCTCTCTCTCTCTCTCTCTCTCTCTCTCTCTCTGCGATGGGAAGTTACGGTACCATGATACGTTTCGGACAATATTTATCGCTCGACTTCCGACACGCGACGTCGGTCGCGAGGTTCCGGCTGCTTGTCACTCTTCGAGGTCCCGACAGTGGCGCGTTCTCGACGTGGACTGAACGGTCCAACGGATGCTGCGAGCTGCGACTCGCTTCGGAGGCCGAAGAACGCGCGAGCGCGCGAGAGGAACGCGGAATACGAGAGACAGAGAGAAGGGTCGCGAGAGCGAGAGGCAGAGAGGGGGGAGGAGAAAGAGGGAGCGACTGAGAGAGAGAGAGAGAGAGAGAGAGAGAGAGAGAGAGAGAGAGAGAGGGCGGCGGAAGTGAAGCGCGAGAGGGAGGATTCTCGTGGAAAATGGGGGAACGAGGCTCTCTGTTCGACGAAGGAGGGGTGCCGTGTGGGTTAGAGGAGGCTGTAGGGCTCTCTCGGGGGTTCGGAGTTTCGACCGACGCCACTAGTTGCTGGTAAACCTCGCAGATTTTCGCGCCCGATGCGATGCCGGCCGCTCCGGCGATCTCTGTTCTCTCCTCCTGCGTCTCTCCGCTTTCTATCGCTTCTCCCCGCTCTGTTCATCTCTCGCACTGCGGGAAGCATCCAATCGCGTGGGTTAACACGAGTTACAGGTTTGCCCGCGGCCGGAGGGGAGGCGGGTGTTTTTGTAGGTGTGTTATCGGGGAGGAATTGATATTCCCCCTCCATGAATTCGACGTGATGCGAGAAAAAACGGGCACCGTCCAAATTGTATATCGACGGTGGGAATGCCGGTGGGAGGACGGAGAAAAGTTGGGCCAAGATCAGATTTAGCTAATCTGATTTATTCAGACGGTCACGTGACCCGTACCCGATGTTAAAAAAGTGATGAATTACAAGGCGCCGTTGGGCGCAGAGCGTTCGTCCGCTCGTTCGTTTGCTTGATTATTGATTAAACGGCCGAACGACTGAAGATTGCGATCCTTTTTCGTTATCAGACGGGGCAGTTATCGGACGTGCGAGAGGATAGATGCGGTACACGTCCGAACGCGGAAAACGTCAAAATTGAGTTTTAGATTGGAAGGTAGCGGAAATGTAACAAGAGTTACATATTACACCCCGGCAATGTGTACTTTACAAAAAAATCAATCAGCCGAAAAAGTTTTATTCGCTGGCGGGATACACACAGGGGAGATCTATTTGCCAAATACGTTTAAAACTGGCATTCCCAGTACCTCCCAGCCAATCAATTGTTCGCCGTTTGTTTCCGGAAAAAGGAAGATTTGAGTACATTTTCAGAGTACAGGGTAAATTGGCTCGCGACTGCCCCGAACACTCTCTTCCTCGTCACTTCTTTATCCTTCGCTGGTCGAAAACAGCACGGCGCGATTCTTAAACAGCCTATCCATACGTAAGACCTCCCTTAAGCACAACGGACGATCCCCCCTGTAAATATACAGGAAGGTCTCTCGGCGGTCGACAACGAGCCCGGACGAATCAATCGCGTGTCTCGCGCACCGTCAATTATATAGCCGGCATCGAAAGGCACTTTCAGTCGCCGCTCCCCAAATCGACCGCTTGTTTCCTCAACTACCCTCGAGAGCATTACCTTCGTTATATTTCGAAGTACATCGAACAATTACGCCGGACAAACCGAAAGTTAACTCTCAGTGTCGAGCAAGAAAATGAAATGGCTGGAGAGACGTCGAGCAGAAGAGGGAGAAGGAGGAGGAGGAGGAGGAGGAGGAGAAAGAGGAGAGCAGGAACAGGGGGAGAGAGGAGAAGTTACTTTTCGTGCATTATGTGAGGTATTATTTGAACGGGAACAAGGGAGACAGGTTGGCGGTATAGGTAAGCTGAATTTACTTTTGGCTCGCCTCGTAATTTCCCCCGACTGTCTTGCGAACGGCTGGGCTTTTGTGGAAAATTTTTCTTTGTTTCCACGCTCTGTCCGTATTTACCGCGATGTTCACGTGGGCAGTCGTCATTATCCGTATTGGCATTGTTTTCTAACACGCGGGGCTTTTATCAGCGCGCTGAGGCCGCGTATCGGCGCGACGCGGCGCGGCGCGGCGCGGCGCGGTGCGGCGCGTCTCGTCTCGTTTCTTTCAAGAATACGCGCCCGCGTTAAATCACGTTTAATGTCGAGAATGGCTCACGAAGCGGATCTCGGCCGCACACAATACCCGCTCGACCTCGCCCGTGCCGCTCACAAAGAAACGCGCTTCTTTCGGATTCGGATCGCGCAGCGGATTACGCGTTAACGACCGGCTAATTCGCGACCGCGCCGCGGCATGCGATTTCTTTTCTCCTCGTCGACCTCCGTCCTCCGGTTAATAAAGGCACTTCACTGATTAGGCTTACTCTCACATCGCGCTTAGGTAGCGCGTAAATGTCTTACGGCTGGGAGCATTCGCCGCGGTACTTCAATTAAAGTCGCGTGGAATATTTAGTCAGGTGCGCTGCTGCTGCGCCATCAAATTTGTCTCTGTGCGGAAATAATCGCTCGTGTTTAAATATATGATTCCTGAGTGAGCGAATAAAGGGAGGTGGGATGCGTTACTCGATGAAACTCGACGGTTTATTTGTCGCGCGTATTTCCACCCATTCTTTTGCGAAAAACCATCTTCTCGAATGTATCATGATTTACTGAATACCCCTTGTATAATCGGTGTCTCATTGTCTACCTACCATGTGCGGAGCTTTGTACTGTTGGTTTCGCGGACACGCGACTATAAGAGATCATAAATCAACGATTGAGCTCCGTGTTGCCTTTCGATTCATAAGTTCGCACACACACACACCCTCGAACGATATATCGCGCGTCAATTTTTCACTTAAATCGTAGACCATAAATCGCAGGATGGACCTTTCGTTAATACTTTCCAGTCCGACTGAACAAACTGAACCAAAAGCTGACGGTAGATCGCAATTTCGAGGCTTTTATATTCAATTTCGCGCAGAAAGTTACGCTCAGTAATCGATAAACGTTGCGCGTTATCGCGCCGCGACGATACGATCAATTTTGGATTTATGCAAAGAGAGAGAGAGAGAGAGAGAGAGAGAGAGAGAGAGAGAGAGAAAGTGGGAGACAGAAGCGATGCAATCTGGCATACACGCTACTGGCCAAAATAGAGTTTGATGGATGCGTCCTATCGCGGATATTCGTCGAGACTCGACTGTAAATTGAATAACCAATGTTGGCGGATTCTGTCGTTTTTTTCCTGTTGTAAGCGTCCCGTTGGCATCGTGCATCCGCGACATTAGCCACTGAACTGATATTAGCGCGAGTTGCGGTGAATACGTTGCTGGCTGGCGTTTTAAGCCCACCGTACATACGCGCGCGATCGGGCCGCGCGAAATTGAATTTCGACCGTTTCGATGAAACACTTTGATAAAGAGCTGCGAATTGAAATTTTGTTAAAAATCGATTCAAGGACCGCGCGAGGATTTATTCGAATCACAGGACATTGTGAATTTTCTTTCTATCGGCCAGGGAAATTTAATCTTCGCGGTTCTGGCGGCATCGCATTTTCATCGTGCTACATATTACAAGCATTACAGTGCAGGATAATATCGCAGGATCAGGATCGCAGCCGTTAATCGTGGATACGCCATAATCTCCTGTTGCGGCTATACGCGCGCATCACGAGTATTATGCTCCGAGAGTACATAATGTGTGGCGGGAAGCGCGAATAGATAATCCAATCTGAGGTCTGCTTTGTGCGAATAATACGATAGATAGGATCCTGATTGAGTTTCGTTCTCGTTTGACGGTCGTTTCGGATACGCGTTATCAGCATTGGGTCAACCCCGTTCTCGGACTAGAAAAGTTTCGCGAACTTTCGATGAACGATGATATCTTCCGCGAGACAAAGTTGCTCGCCTGAGTTTGCGCGGCTGAGGTAGTAGTAGTTAGGTTAAAGTGTGCACGAACTCGTAAATACTAATATTCAATGACCAGAAAATATGTTTCATGAATATTCGATGCAATATTAGATACATTTTTAAGAGAACATTCTCGCAAAAGTATATTTTGAGTATATTGTGCGGAATATCTTGTTGAATTGAACTACGCTAGCCGAGCACGACAAATATAGTATAATACATTAAGAGACGGAAAAATGCTTTCATTCATGCATGAAAGGAAGTTGGAATTGCTTGAAATTCATACCTTCGTGAAAAACGATTCCTCGACCTGGATGAGATTCCATAATCGGGAGGTCTTGAGATTCCGTCATTACCATACGAAGAAGTAGATGCAAATGGACGATATTACTTTCTTCCCTCCAATATCACGCGCAAAATTGCCGCGGTAGCTCCCTCTGCTGCCATCTGGAACAAAGAGATTAGGTTAAGAGGCAACTCAGCCGGTAATGACATAATTGCTTACGGACCCTTTCGGGCCCCTTTAGTTGATACGAAAATTTACCCAGGGCTGTCAGTCTTTATATTATCTCGTCGGTGGTAGATCTTATTATTTCATTATTTTGCAGATTATTTTGTAGTTTAGGGAATATTTGTGGATTTATGTGAGCGAACGGCTGTATACGAATATATACAAGCTCGCTATATCGTGTACGACGCCTACTTGAGAGAGCGCTAGCATATCCTTTCAAGTTCCGCCAACTCTAAATCAACAGAGACAATTTTTATAACAAAATATTAATAAAACTTCATTTCGATAAAAGAAGCATTTTGTTAAGAATATTCAAAATATGCGTAAACCTCTTGTATTTTCGATCTGTATAATATACAAATTCATTCTAATATCGGAAATTAATTCTTCTACAGTTGGCAATATCGTGGCGATTCAACGGACTATTGGTGGTTTGAAACTTTTGATTACATGCGAGTATTTCGTAGATTCTTTTGTTGCGATTTATTCAATAGTACCATTGTTACTTTCATTTAATAGAAATCAATAAAAATAGCCGTCAAAATCATGCAATATATACAAGAAACTGATGGACTTTCTCTCATTTATCACTGAATTTTACCTCGTGGTCGACAGTTTTGTTGACATTGTTTGTTTACCTGGTTGACACTTATTTCCTTTGTTGAAAGTTATTGCTACGTGATGAGCTCACTGAAACAGTACGTGTGAGCAGGATGATAAAACAGGGAGGTAAGTAATCACAAACAGTAAGTAATAAACAGATAATTTATATACACGTTTTAAAGATTGTTGTTGCAGGCACATTTCAAACATTAATTTAAATTGCCAAAAGACAAATAAGGAGAAAGAGACTGAGAATGACTTCTAATTATTTGAGGGACTCTGTGAGTGACTCACAGGACTTTATATTGCAACTTTCTGATGATTCCACTACTGAGGACACACATGAACCGGTAGAAAATAATAAAGAGAAAACAGAGAACAGTGTTATTGTGATTAGTGACTCAAGTTGCAGTTCATCACCTAAGCACTTTGAAAAATCAGAATGGCAATCTGGTACAGCTTCTAAAAACAAAAATAAAGTAAAATATAAGAGATTCTATATTTCGGAAACCTCTTCAGAGGACGAAGAAGAAAAGATTAATTTACCATGGAGATTAGATGATGGATCTGATGACCGACTGTTAAGTAGAAAATATATCAATAATGTACAAAATCATAAAGTATCTTATACTTCTGATGAGACTGCTACTACTAATAGTAGTGACATGACTTACGATAGAAATGCTAAAAAATGGACAAATAAATCTAATATAAAAAGTTCCTGCAAAAGTACTATATTAACACCTACCAAGCAAAAAATTAGACAATTTAATACAGATACGAATAAGAAACATGAAATATATAATGTTAAAGAAATAAATGAAGTAACAACACCAAATAGTTTGACGTGCAGTAGCAGTTCTGGTATTCGAAATAGATTAGATCAAATCACTGTTCGTACTACTCCACGACAAAATAATGTAGGAAAAGGTAAACTTACGAAAGAAGATACTCGTAAAATTTTCAGAAATATAATATCCACAAAAGTTGTGTATGATTCTCCCAAAGAGAAGAAAGAAACTAATATAATAATTGACGAGAGTACAGATATGGATGAGGATATAATGCATCCTGCCCTCTCATCCAAAAAAGATGGGGAAATAAGTTGTCGCAATGACAGTTTTGATGTTATCGAGACAAGTCTTATAGATGATATTATTCCTGACTCACAAACTGACTCATCAAAACTGAACAACCAAATGCACAATAGCAAACTTATCGATACATCCAAGAATGAGGACCTTTACAGACCACTGTCTGAGAAGAAAAAAGAACAAATTGCTCAATGGCTTATGACAAATCAACCTGACTCTCGAAGCGATAGTTCTTGCAGTAACATACCCGCGAGTATAAGAAACAGTATAAATTCTGGAAATAGCAGCCTAGAAAGATTAGAGTTGAACTATGAAACTCCAAATAACAGGGGACAGATCAATAAAGCGCATACCAATGAGGAACAAACTACAATTACGAGTCGCAAAGGGGAAATTCAGTTATTTCCGACGCGACAAACTACTCTGGATAGATTTGTCCAAAGATCTAAAGATAATAATTCTGAGTTTTGTACGCCAGATAGACCAACGGTTCTAGCAAAAGCACATACTGAGAAAAAGATATCTTCATTGGTGGTAAATGATCCTGAGGATGCAGATGTAAAGAATTGTGCAAATATATTAGATAAGCTTTATGGCAAATCCTGGAGAAATAAAGCTAATGTATTATTACCAACATCCGAACCACGGAAGAAAGTTTCCAAAACAATAGTTAAAACTATACAAACAGAACGGTAACTCATATTTTTATCATAATTTCATATGTTTACCAAAAATGTACTTAACAAATTATACCGTTATAGGAAACCTGTATTAAATAATCAATATTGTACAATAGATCTGGGCAATTCCAGCTCAGGTAAAAAATTTTATATCTTCTGAATGTCATTTTTTACTAAGATATTTTACTAAGATAATTTCTTCTTTTGAAAAATCTTATTTCAGTTAAAATTGACATCAGGTCGGACACAAGAAAGAAAGTCCAACGAAAGCATAAAAAACAAGATAGTTTTATTAATGACGAATCGTCTTCAAGCGACAATGGCGAGAGTATATATCACACCGCTTTAACAAACTTTAGAACTTCCACAGATAATACAACACCCAAACAAAAGCTTACCAAACCTACGCCAGTATCGACTTCAGTCAAACAGTACGTTTACATTATATATGTTACATGTCTTGATATATCATTTAATGAAAGAGTATTTTATTGCTTTAGAATATTGTCACTATGTGATACTGATACCGAGGATGAAGTAAATGAAAAATCCAGCAGTGATCCCGAGAAAAATTTTCCCAGGAGAAGATTATCATTCAGTAATGACGATGGTTCTATCACAAGCGAATTTGACCCTGGAGACTATATACCACCGAAGTCTACTTTTAAAAAAAGTGAGGAATGTAATGTAGTATTTGCTCAAACTTAAAGAAGGATAATCATAAAGTATATAATTTTTTAGAAACCACCGATACGCTGCAACCATCTAAAACATTAACGAAATCAGTCACAACGAGTAGATCATTAAGACACGAAAGTTTTTTGGCATCATTATCGAGTATGGTTCCAATGAACAACTCTCATCCTGACGCAAAGAAATATAGATCGGATTATAAAAATCAGAAAGAAGAGTTATGCAAAAAATTGTATAAACTGTATAATGAAAAAGTATTTGATGGTCAATTGCCACAAGATCTGCCGATTGAATGGAACATACGTATGAGAGGTACTGCAGGATATTGTTATAACAAGAAGTCAGTGAGAAGTCTCACTGGTGTCGTCAAATCCTCAAGGATTGTATTAGCAACAAAGGTACATTTTCGTTGCTTTTACTTACTAGCGTACAAGTATAATTAGTTAAATGTGGTTAAAATGAATTACGATTTATAGATTTTGGATACACCAGATAGACTAAGGGACACCTTGATTCATGAAATGTGTCATGCTGCATCTTGGTTAATAAATAATGTGTCTGATGGTCACGGACCTTTCTGGACAAAATGGTATATTATTATATTTCATTATTAAATAAGCCAGGGAATATTATACACGAGTTTTTCACGTTACAGAGTATTGTATAATTTATTTTGCATTGTACACAGGGCTAATACAGCAATGAGGACGTTTCCCGAATTGCCACAAATTCGTCGATGCCACGATTATGAAATTAAGACTAAATTTACATATAGATGCACAGATTGTGGTTACAGGTATGGCATACCAATGACAATGACAAACAAAAATGTATCCTCACTCTAACATCTCTGAAACTGATATTATTTGTCACAGCATTGGGAGACATTCAAAGTCCTTGGATATTGAGAGGAAACGTTGTGGCCATTGCTATGGAAAATTTGAATTGTTAGTCAATAAAACAACAAAGTCTGGTACTGTGCAAAAAGTTAGTCTAAAAAAAGAACCTTCTGGCTTCGCACTTTATGTGAAGCAGAATTACAACTCTGTGAAGAAGGAAAAAAATAATATGAGACATGCCGATGTGATGAAGATTTTAGGTCAGCAATTTTCAGCACTTAAAATAGCAAAGAAAAATAATCAAGCTGTGGAGAATGATCCAGGGACTGGGATTTGATTAAATATCATATATATATATATATACACCTTTTTAAAGTTATAATTAAGAGTAGCGTGTATAATTTTTAATATAGCGTATAGTATTTTAGCAGATTTTCAAACTACCAATTATACACATACATTTGCCTCCTTCTGATCTTGTATGTATTTGTTTATTGTAATTGCATAAATTTTACAAGTATATGCAATTACAGTATATAAGTGTAGTATAAAAAAATGTACTTTAGAAGACTATGCTTTTGCTATTACAGGTATTCAAATATGAGATATTTAATATACACATAATATAGAGATTATTCACAGCCACGTACAAGTTCTTCTGTGTGATGATAATATTAAATATAGTTAAGATCTGTAGAACTTGTAATAAAATATACTCAGAGTATCAATGCCTTGTTCCGAAGTATCATTTCACTGAATATATCATTGAATTGATTTCAATTTACAAACATATCCAAGAGAGCGCGTCCAACTCCTAACCCGTTATAAACCGTACACAACATTGACAGCTGCATCTGACATCTCATTACGACACGAAGAGAGCGAGGCAGATGGTTACGAAAACAAACCGACTCTCTCTCTCTCTCTTTCTCTCTCTCGCTTTCCGTTTCGCGAGTCGCCAACTTCGAGCTCTGCAGGAAGTTCGAGCGAAGACGACCGTCGTCCAATAGCAGGATAGCTTTCCTAGAGACAAAAGTGTCGCTCGGCAGAAATTCCTAGAACCGTCTGCTGTCAACGCGCGATGCAAATCCCGTGTTATCCGAGCGGCGGCGCATCGTGCCGAGCGCGTCACGATGCGTCGACAGCGCACTCTAAAAACAGTCGTGCCGAAGATGGCGACGTGCGAGCGGCGGTGTCCGCGCGGTGTTTAGGCGAGTGAGAGAGTGTGTGAGAGAGGTGTACCATGTTGCCGCCGTTGCAGCGTCCGCAGTGTTTCTGTGATTCGCGTTAAGTTCGGTGCTAAATGTAGGAATGTCAGAGACGAAACGGGTACCTCTGCAGACCCTGGAGTTTCCGGAGTCCCTGGGCCACGCTACGAAGAAGGAGAAAAAGGGGAATATGGGCAAGCAGCTCGCTCCCTCCTTCCGCTTCACGCTCACCCTGCCGGAGTCGAACGAGAAGACATGTCCCGAATTCAACTACGCGCAGCTCCTGAAATCGGCCGAGGTGAGTCGGACCGCGCTCGCGACAAACGTGTGCTCGCCGCCGCTCGCCGCACACTTTGGTGGCGGCCGCGGCGGAAAAGGGAGATCGAAGGGAGCCGTGCGTGCGCGTCGGAATCGTGACGCGCGCGCGACATACGGCGTGAAGTGAGACGGACTAAACCGCGTGTCCGTGTGTCGCGGCAGGGAACAGATGGCAAGGTTCCGCGGAAAATACGCGAGAGAAATCGTCGCGGCGTTTTCCGTCGGCGCGTCGCTCTCGCGCGATTGTCATCACGCGGTCGGACGGACGGCGCGATGACATCGCCGTGTCCGCCGTCGCGTCCCCCCCTCCCCCTCGTCGTTCCCACGTAAGAATGCGAGAATCCTCGCTAGACGACTGTCCGCCGAGAGACGGGCGAAAACGGCTCCTTGATCGATTCGCGCGGCCCTCCGTATTCCGCGCGTTGTCAACGTCATCATTGTGTGTCGCCGGGCTGCTGCGTCGCCGACGTGTATGCACGCTGTCACGAGGCTACAAGGCGGGGGGCGCGTCAGATTACACACCTTAGAGGACGTGCGCGCCTTTCTCTCGTGCAGCGTTCTTCGTGCGGCCCTTTTTCGCTCGTAAAACGTCTCCACGAGAGTTGCCATTGAGCGACGACGACACCGTCCGGCATTGCGAGCTCTTCTCGTCTCTCTCCAATTTTCCCTCTCTCTCTCCTCTCTCTCTCTCTCTCTCTCTCTCTCTCTCTACCCCCTTTCTCTCCCGCTCGTCCTCTCGCGTTGTTTCTCTCTCTCTCTTCCCCTCCCTCTCTCTCTCTCTCTCTCTCTCTCTCTCTCTCTCTCTCTCTCTCTCTCTCTCTCTCTCTCTCTCTCACCCCCTCTCCCCCCGAGGAAGAGAAACAGAGAGGGAGGAACGGCGGTAACGACGAGGCCTTATTCGTTGTGTGTGCAACGTCTACGCTACGATCTATTTCGCAAGCCACGTATTCCCTTCGACCGCGCACTCGTCGTCGTCGTCGTCGTCGTCGTCGTCGCCTGTGCACAAGAGAGAAAGATATGGGAGATGGTGGAGAATGAGAGGGACGGAGGACGCGCAGCGAAGGGAGACTGAAAGAGAGGGACGACGCGCGACACACGACGTAAATGCATGTGTCGCGCGGAGTCTCTTATTTCACGCGCGCGCGAGAGAGCGTGTTGCGGGCTCTCCTTTCTGAATTGTAGATCGATGCACCGGAGGCGAGACTCGTGACCGCCGGCACGTATCGAATACGCCGCTCGCGAGACCGTATGTCACGCGTTCGCGAGCCTCTTCTCCTTCCTTTCTCTGTCTGTCTCTCTCCTTCTCGATATCTCACCGGTCTCCCGATGCCGGTGAATAATCATCGGCGAGATCGAGCTCCTCTCGAAAATAAAGCAACAGATATATTCATAATTGTCTCTACGCTTCACGGAACGGCGAGCAGGAGGTCTGGCGGAGTGAATTTCACCGAGAGAAACGCATAAATTTATTTACGAGGAATGTTGTTCGTCGCAGGTCTCTCTCGAGCTTGAACCGTGTGAATCTGTCCCTCATTCTTCACGTTTTTCTCGAAAAATATTTTCTCTCTTACGCCTAAATTCTTACCTGATCTGACAATGAGCGTTTCGAAAGTTTTAGCTCTTTAACAGATGTTTCGTAAAGTATCTCTGTTGTATTTCTTTATCCATGCCATATGACGAGATATTTTCGAGAGGATACATACATAGGAAATACATACGTCTGACTTTCTTTGCTTGCTCTTTCTTTTTTCTCTCACTTCGCTTGCAGATCCAAATTCGTTCCGTAAGATTCTCAAATTGTGCATTTTCTGATTGAGTTAGCTTTCGTTGGCCGGTTCCACGTCCGAGATAACCGTGAAGCGTAATCTAGACATATCAATTAAGACATAAAAATCAAGTGTTAATTACGTCGGCGTCATTAGTCGGAATCGCTGAGTTAGCGGGGGGAGGGGGGGCGACTGAAAACAATTTAATTTGCCTTTAATTTATCTTGCCTTTCTCCGTATGTGTCACGTCTGTCCGTCGGTTTGCCGGGAAAGTAGAAATGAACATTGTTTCATCGAAATTCAAGAACGCAGAATCGAATTTGACGTTGCGGCGCCGCTTTGTTTTGGCCGCGCGCACGTGTCTCGAAAACGTGCTGCGAATCGCCAACAACAAATCAAATTTCGGAAAAGCGAGGCGGCCGGTTTGAAAATTTACAGTCCGTTGACCTTCACCCTTGAAATTATTCCGCACCGTAGCAACATCGCGGATTTAAATGTGCAGTGGGAATTTCTAATTGAAAATCAAAGAACTGTGTCGTTCTCGCGCGCACCCGATTTTAAATATAAATTACGAGATTCGTAGGACACACATGTCCGCGCACGAACGGTAAAAAGCGTGCTACGTTGTTACATTTTGCAATTCTCTCTCCCTCCCTCTCTCTCTCTCTCTCTCTCTCTCCCTCCTTCCTTTTCTCTCTTTCATCATCTGGTTTCTCTTATTTTGCGATCCCGCCGTGCGATAACCGCGCGTGCCTGCATGCAACTCCGTAATTTTACTGAATTTTTTGACGCTACCAAACGGCGCGCGGTTGAAACGCTCGTTCCGTGTTACCGGGTTAATCTGCCCTCTCCCTTTTTTCCCCTTTTGTCAAGAATCCCGATAATAACCGCGCGAAGCGCGGTGAAAATCTATCGTGCGATAGAAAAGTGAAAGCGACACTGTGCAGTGTATCGGCGCTAGCGATGGATCTCGATCGGCCGATCGATCGGATAATTAATTGCGCGCGATTACGCTCGATAGAGCCGGCCCGCGATCGAGAGACGTTCGTGTCAAAAGGAACCACCTTCGATTACTAACAATCGCATCGCTGACTGGATCAATCACTCGATTCGGCGTCCCTGCAGCAGGAGAACAGGAGACCGTAGGAGGTGGTGGCTGTTCGCGACTCGAGCGAGAGAGAGAGAGAGAGAGAGAGAGAGAGAGAGAGAGAGAGGAGAGAGAGAGAGCGCGCGAAAGCGCAAGGACGACGTTCTTACTGCGGTATGCGCTCCTAGTATCGGCGCACGCGAGAGGCACCCTTTCAGAGTCAATTATCGTATTTTCACAAGTGTTATATATCTGAACGCCCGGGATTCGCGTATGAACTGTGCCCGCATGCATATACGTCGTTGCGTTCCGATCGATTTGAATTTTCTAGTGAAAGTGAAAAATCGTATCGCGAGTGAGTACGGAGTAAGAGCGATCCCGTTGCTGTAGATTAAATAGATAACGTCCGGTGTTACAACAGTTACAAGAACGATGCGATTACCGGACGGAAATGTAACGAACGAATATCGTTTGCTTTGCAGAAGAAGCGAAGGAAAGACGAGAAGAGGGGAGATGAGAATGCTACAAACGGATTGGATCCGTTCGACGATGACGATGACGAGGATAAGCTTCGAGACATGGCAAAGCGATTTGAAGCGAAATATGTACGTGCGACAAGTCTGAAGCGAAACGAACTCTTCTGCTATTCTGTGTAACTTCAGTAGCAATGAAGTTTCGAGACGTTGATATTTTTTGTCTATCGTGTTTTAGGGAACGTCTATCGGAAAGAAAAGACACAAGTACGACGATTATGTGGATTTGGGCGCGGGATATGATGAGAATGATTCCTTCATCGACAACACTGACGCTGTATGTGTGCTTTGCATCTCTCACGCAGGGAAAAGGCAATTTCGTCGAGGAGCATCGCGTTTTTCATAAAATCGATTCTTTTTCCTTCCCGTAGTACGACGAGATTGTACCCGAGGAGATGACCACGGCGCATGGGGGCTTCTATATTAATTGCGGGGCCCTCGAATTTCGTGCGGCCGATAGACACTCATTAGTCCACAATAACAATAACAATAATAATAGCGATGAAGACGAGAGCAGCGAGAGCAGCGAGGAAGACACCGAAGATGTGGATAGTCCTAAACGTCTAGAAAAACGAACCATCAGCTCGTCGGAAGACGATGAGACGGAGGATATTACCGGCAGTAACCCACGAAAGGTAACTGAAATTCAAACACAATACCGTGTGTGTTACTCGTTACTTGTAGAATCGACGATAACGCCATAATCTTTTACAGAGAAAAATTGAGGACAACGGCGAGAAGAAAAGTAATCATGAAAATAGCAAGAAGAGGAAAAAGGCGCAAAATCATCAAACGCAGGATCAACAACAACAAAATTCTCAACAGGATCCGGACCTTTTAAATAGACGGAAAGATAAAAGTGATATAACCGATGTTGAAGGTGGTACAGGTACTGTTGTTTCTCACTGTTACATACATCGTTACAGTATCTAATTACAATATCGAAGATGTTACGAATTATCGATCAATATGTGCGTTTTTTAAATATGATTTTGCGATTTCAGCTTCTGAGGATCAAGAGGAGAAGAAAAAGTCTGATAAATTGGAATTACAGAAAAATAAAATAAGTGATAAAAAGTTCGATATAAAGAAATTTGAGAAAAAATCGTCCAATAGTAACGGATTCGACGTGAAAAAGATGGATCTAAAGAGGTTCGGCGGTAAGGACAGCAACATTGACGATGCAATTGAGAGTGTTGTGAACGCGGCTAGGGTCGAGGACGACACGTCGAGTCGAGATACATCCGACTCGGGGAAGTCGCGCGTTTGTCTCTACGTGGAATCTGACGGGGAGGAGATGTATAATAAGGAAACGTTATTACCCGAGAATCTTCCCGAAGATATAAAAGAGATAGTAAATAAATTGAAGGCTCACGCAGAGAATAGCAAAGATGGTAAAAGTAAATTCTTCAACAACACGGTTAACGAAGTACTTTTTAAGTAAGTTCCTACATTATAAATTGTAATAACAAACCAGGTCGTGCAGAACAGTTTGGAATTAACATGCGTTATTCTCTTTGCAGTTTAGAGAAAAAACTACGGATGATGAATTCGCCTAGCGTAAGGTTACAAACTTATGCCCACCTAGTACGGTTTTTGCCTTGTAAGAAAATTACCTTACTCAGTAGAGCTAAAAAATTATATCTGGAGGACGCGGAGCATAGAGTGAATGAACCAATGCAGAAGTAAGACTTATTCATGTAGACAAATAATCATTTTGAAACCCACGAAAGTAATTCAGTGTGTGTATTTTCTTAAAAAGTTTCGACCTTTTACAAAGCTCCTTTATTTTAGATTAAAGACACTCATCGATAATGTCATGCCCTCGGTTATGGATAAATATATGAAAGAATGCCAAAAAGTTGCCGACGAAAAGTGAGTAACTCTCATTATATCTCATACATGATTAGTCCGTTTTGATTTTTTTCCTGATATATACAACAGTTATACATATATATATATATATATATATTTTAGTCCAGGCTTTATTAACAGGGTGTTTTGTTGGTAAACAATTAATTTTTATAATTTATGAACGTATATTGTATAATTTTGGGTGTGTTATACGTACATGTATGTATCTGCGAATAGAAAAAAATCTACTATTTGCCGGTATTAGTACATAAATCTACAATTTATAATTTTCTGAACCTGAACTCATTGTAATTTTTTATTTCTCAGTCCTCAATTATACTGGGAGATATATCGGTACTGTTGGTAAGGCGCCCCTCGTAAGAGGAACCCCTATCTATTCTCGCCTCTCCGATTGCTCTTTCTCTTCATCTTTCCCTCTCTTCTATCTACTGCCTTTATCTTTCTCCCTTGATCTACTCATGCTTATATGCTTTTGCTCTCTCAATTAATTACGAACATTCATAATCAATTATGTTCGCATATGGATGAAGAGACATTTCATTACTTAGCAGTCATTTTTCATCAGACACTGATTGAGAAAGCAGAGGAAGATGCGGGGCTTTTTATCATCAGTATCAGTATTTAGTTCGTCACTAGCATCATCTTTTGTATTAAACAGATATGCATTTGATTTGGGACACAATTCGACGATTAGGTGTGACTTGATCACGTATCATATTATTGTCCAAGAGAAGATTGTGTATCGAGGAATTCTGTCACAACAAATGCTGATCATCATTCTTTGTCATCGCGATATCATGTATTTTTATGATAATATCTTTCGATTAAATATAACGAATCGGTCGATTTCAGGGGTTTCGAGGGGTCTCCTGCGGATGCGGAAAGTAGCGATGAAGACGACGTCTCTAAAACTACGGACAAACCGAAGATCCCCCGAAAACGATTTCCATGGACTGACGAAGCGAAGTGTGTTATCGGTTAATTAAAATTCATATCATATCTCGAATTTGTTCACGTTCACGTGTGTGTGTAAATGTAAATTTCTACTATTTCAGAAAACTCGTTCTTGAAATTGCGAACGCCAGGAGGCATTACTTCAAAATTCTTAGACCAAGAAAAGAGAGTATGGAGTCGTTCGTCGCTACTTTTATGGATACTAACGTTTTACCGTTGTGGCCACCCGGTTGTGTACGATTGCAAACCTTGATAAAATACGGTAGTCCCGTTGGGCCGGTGTAAGTATTACCTTATAATGTACTCTAACAGCCATAAATATAATAGCCAATCTTACCCTTTACGAGCATGGACAAGAAAACTTTCGAACTGTTTGTGCTTTGCTTTGCGCATGAAAAACTAAATCCTAATGTTTATATATTTTCGTTAAGGTGAAAGAGTATTAATACATTTCCGAAAAATGGAAAGATCTACCAAGGATAGATCTCTCTAACCAATTGCTTTGCAAATCACGATCGAGAAACCCGCGTATTGTCGTACACGCTGTCAATTAGTTGTCGGCTGGTAGCTCTATTGTTTGGCCCATTGTGTGTTTTAGGAAGGTGATTGTATTGGATTAATATGATTTTGTACCTCTTCGCTCGAAACATATTAATGGATTCCTAGCAAAAAGTTGAATTCTACAAGAACGATATTCAACTAGATGCATTTATAGATAAACTGCCTAAAAGATTGATTCGTATGCAGATCATTAATGTCGATGTTACATTGCTTTTCAAATGCTTCTTTAACTTATTATGTATACATACGCCAAGATTGTCCAAGTTACTTATGTTCAATTGACACACGTATATTTATTTTTGTTCTTGTCTATTTATTATTAAACAATCACTTGGTTGCGTGCTTTTTATTTCTTACATGCCTTGCCTTACTAACTCGCTCGCTCATGCACTTCATTGATATTAACTATTCGCATATTGCTTCGTGTCAATGGATCATTATGATTTTAGCATTAAGAAGAAGTTGAAAAAACCGAAGGAAATGACCAATGCAAATAATGTTATTGCCGCTGGGAATACTCAAATTTGTAATTCCGTTGCGAGGAACGATACCACAAACACGAATAATGTTTCATCTCAAGAAAGGGAGAGGATACCTACGATCGTACCCAGAAGTACTCAGAGCAGCGTCGAACATTCGACTGTGAATTTCGTGAATCAAGCATCGGCAAGGGACGTGGTTATCGACAAGAAGCAACACAGTAGTAAACACAAGGACAAACACACGGAAAATAACATGGGACAGCAGCAAGAGAACGTCACGGTTAATGCCATTAATAATTCTACCGTTGGTAAAATCTCCGTTGTACCCACGGCTCAGTTGATGGCTCAGAAGCATGTCAAGAGTCACGTCGAGAAATTTAACCTCATGGATCTAACGAATAGCTCTCTGTCCATCACGCCTGTCAATGATTATCACAAACTGTCGGGAAAGACCACGGAGTCGAAGAAGGATGTAGTTTCCATCACGGCGTGTACGGAAGCAGCGAGTCACTCAAAAACGAACGAAATAGTACAGACTGGACATCATTCCGTGTTCAGGCAAGATGCTTCTTATCCGGCGCCAACGCAGAATCTGAAGCACAGACTTTTACACGAGAACACCGATGCGAAGTGTGACAAGAGATTGGTGGACGATAAGGATGTCGACCTGGTCAATAAAACCGATAAGAAAGACAAGAAGAGAGATCGGTGCATGGAAGTGAAGCACAAACCGTCACATGACTCGAAAAAGAGAAAAAAGGATCAGAAGATGCTCGAGCAGCAAATAGGGCCTATTACCCCAGACATAGTGCCTATACCGCAGCAAGCGACCCTTTCGAAAGAGGAGCAGGAGCAGAGGCAGAACGAGGAAACGATCGCCGCGACCAACTTTCTCAGCCAGATCATCAACGATGACACGTCACCGCGTGGGTTAACAGACAAACGGAAAGACGGTTTTATCGCGGACGATAATCTGGCTAGCATAGTACAGCCGACGGAGCAGGAGAAGGACGTGCAAATGGTAATGCGGTCGTTGAAGGAGTTGCAAGAGTTGCAAGAGATGAAATTTTCTCCCAGTCATTCGCCAGTCGGCGGTGCCATTCAAAAAGCCGGTAAATCGAACACGCATTACGTCACTTACCAGGAGGAATATCAACGATTGTACCTCAAGAAAGAGGATAAAATAAGGTCTAAGGAGGATTCGCAATGGTAGATAAACAATGTTGTGTATTATCGCCCGTTCGAAGCTTCGTTTATTTGCGGACGGTTACAGTAGTAACTAAAAATTATTAGTTGATTATTAGTTCCGCGATTAGTTAACAGGCGGGGCTCTCGGTATTTATAATTACGTTTCTTTTCGGCACGAACGATCGAGCGAGAGGGCCGGCCGAAACTTCTTCCACTTAGAGAGAACATTATCGGTGAATAGGATTCACACGCAGCTATGCAGTGTGTGACGGCGATCGTTGGCGCGTATATATATACATGCATGTATGAGCGTGTGTGAGTGTATGACGTGTGTGTGTGTGTGTGTGAGTGTGAGTGTGAGTGTGAGCGTTATCGCGTAAAGTTTTTAAGTATTTTGAAACAGACAACCGCCAAATTATGTACATACATAAAATTCGCTCTAGTAGTAATCTCGGTTGTATGTGTACAGAATAAGTATAAATTATAAAATTCTAATAAGGGATTCCGTGAGAATAGCTATCTTTGTAAATAAGTTTAGCAACATCCCATAATTGTCATAACTGTCATAATTGAATGTTGGGTGGTCAATGAGAATTTTATTTACATTATTTCGATAAAACGTAGTTTGATCTTTTATTGTGATCTTAACATTGTCATAAATTGGAATTTAATATTACTCGCGTACACGTGGCATTTTATTTTAACCGTCAACTTGAGAAAATTGCTTTCTTCCCTTTTCTTTTTTTTACAAGTACTGCCACAAATATGGGAGGGGCAGGTCGTTGGTATCGGTGACCATTTACTTTTTATCTTGCGTGTATGTGCTATTTGACCACCCTGTGTCAAAGAATGGAAAAAAAAAACAGATTATGTATTGTTCCTTTTCGTGTATGTGCTTCGCCTGTCACATATTATCGTACATACATTCTTATATGTTTACGCATAAAACAGGAAATTATTCAGTTCAAGATATATATTTCAATAGTTTACGTATTTCATCCACATTTTCGCCTTCCAATTGAATTTATATTATCAATAAGAAACGAATTCGTGATCACATGATCAGGATCAGGAATGAATCAGAATACAAAGCTCTAACGTTTGATTGATTATTGTAAGAGGTCACGATAAGATACTTCCACTGTATATTGCCCGTTTGCGCAGATTATTTTGATTAATATCATTATAAAATTTACATATCTCCAACATTTTAAGTTCCGCATTCCCTTTATCTTTAAAGACAGGAGATTCACTAGATTAGCTCAAGACGTGTGCGAGTATTCAGATTGCTTTTTCGATTTATGTAGCTTCATACGCGGCTTGTGACCGAGTGATAGATGTAATAAATACTGTGTGAAAAAGAGTGTGTACGAAGGAGACGGAATGAATGTATGAGAGCTGTTAAAAAGAGCGAGAGAGCGAGAGAGAGAGAGAGAGAGAGAGAGAGAAAGAGAGCGAGAGAGAGACAGACAACTAGAATATTTTTGGAACACATAAAGATGACGACTAGTACTGTATTATATATACCATATACCTTACCCACCCCTCCCATTTTATTCTTATGATACTTAGAATACGGTTAAACGTCTTGTACAATTCTGCATTGAGAATTTTCACTAAGACGATTTAAAATATAAGTTTTGAATATTTTTTAAAAAGGTCATACAATATTTTTCTCTCTACCCATTTTTTCTTCTCATTATAAGATAATGGAAAGCAAACAAATATGATACATTGCGCTGCTGGCTTTTATCAAGATCTTTCTCTTTTGCTTATAGTCTGCTCTGATTATTGATAAATACAATATGCGAAGAGATCCAACACAGTCATAAATATCGTGTACGACAAGCACGAAACGTCTGCAATTTTATAAATTATACACTTATATGTTGTTGGTTTTCATTTTTCATGTACTAATTTGTCGGGCTTACTAGGGTTTTGTTCTGATTGTAAATTGTCATAAAATATAAAATGCATCAATGTTATGTACACATTGAGAGCATTCGTGCAAATTCGAAAGATCCACTTGTACTCGGCATCTAATATTTTCTCATCCATTTTGCCGATTCTTACTTTTGACTTTACGTGTCGTGTAATGAAGCACAATGCTCAACGATCGTAATTTAATATTTTGAATAGCAGCTGATAAATGTTGAATTCGCCATTTTCTTCAATTAACGACGATTGACGACTTCAGAGTGAAACAATAAAGGCTCGTTTGTATATTCGAATTTATACGAAGCAACAATAAATACACAGGGTATTGAAGATGTTGACTTACTGGTACAAGTTCTAAATCTCGAAACGCTTGATCTCTCTGCATTTAGTCGTGTAGCTGCGTGTCCTGAACACAACGTAACAGACGCCAGTATTATATCACGTTTAATCACGTATTTGTACGGGCCGAATAATAAGATAAAACCATCGTTTCGCCCGTTCGTTGAATTCGGCATTCCCGATACTCGTTCACGCGCCGATTTAACATACTAACATAACTAATATGCGCGAAAATATAACGAGGACAACGTTTGCGCGACTCGTTTTCGAACTACCGCGACCCTCGAGTATCGCGAGCGTCAACTGTCGCGACTGACGCGCCATCGCTGCGTTCTGCCGTTGCAAAAATAGGCACGTCGTGGCCAGCGATTGTATTTTTTATTGAAAATATCGCTGAATTGTTTTGTGCGTTTTTTTATATTTTCAGCATAAAGATTATCTCGAGTACTCACTACTTCGGATAGCATTGTTCTTAACAAATTAACGAATCGATCGCCTTAGTAGATGGCGCTAGTGTACCTAATTCAAATATCTCAATCGCGCCGAATATCCGGTCAGTTATGGAGTTATGGAGAATGACGGCGTGTGATCGTATTCGTGAATTCGCTCCGTCTTTTCCGCGATTTCGATCCATCAGAGATGGATTTCGTGCCGGGAGTGTTGTGAATGCGCTTCGAGTGATTCGTTATGGCAAAATATCATTGAGTGGTCGAGGTCGAAGCGAGCATCTAGTGGAACGGAGCTTCAGCACTGCCGATTCAATATTCGCGCGTTCGTTCTTTGCGGAGTCCTGTTATTCCCGCATTTGAGCATCTGTTATGCGAATTATCGTTATCGGGAGTGTCGAAAACGAGTTTCGTGCGTTTGTCGTGACGAGAATCGTGAGATGCAGGCCTGGGTTGAACGTCGTGAAGTAGACCGCCGAAAGTACCGAGTGAAGTATCTCGCGTTATTTCGAGAATCGCAGGCGTCGTGCAATGGCGACAGTTCTGGTAACGGTCGCGGCGCGGCATTTTTACTCGACAAGTGTATCTCGTGATTTCGACACGCTGCATCCAAGTTTCGCATGCGGGTTCGGCATCGTCGTCTCGTGCGTTTAGTATCAAGCCAGCAAGTGTAAAAAGATCATGGCAAGTGTAAAAAGATCATGGATTGAATCCCGGCGTGGATTGCCGAGAATGCCAAGCTGAAAGGTTGTGTTTTCAGTGTTTTGTGTCTTGGGCTCTCTCTGTGTTGTGCTTGGTGTTTTTCTGTGTTTACCGTACCGTCGTGAAATTCAAGGCACTGTCATCACCATGTGGTGACGATACTTTCTTCTGTGTATGAAACGCGGTGTATCTAGCTATCCAACATCTAGCTTTCGGAGGGTTTCCGAAGGAGGAATTGGTCGGTGAGTATCGATAGAATATACATTAATAGATGATATATTGTGATTGCTGCATGCTGATTTGTTAACATCTCAGACCGATATTGAAAAAACTAAGAAAAAAAAAACGACAGTGCGAATCTCACTGGCAATTTTAGCGACTTATAAGAACGGTCGAGCTACGAGAAAAAACATCTGAAACTGAGAGTGAAAATAAATAAATAGGAATATACGGAAAATATGGTCGTGTTCGGTGCTTACTTGAAATATACACACACACACACACACACACTAAAAACGCCGTTTCACGTTTCATCTTGATTATATACTTTGAATCTCGATTTTCTTTAAACGAGATTAGCCTCTAGGCGTTCTGTTTGATCGACCTCCCGCGAGGGGAGTTACTTCTCCTCACGCACGGCGTCGCGACGGTCGCGTGACGTAACACGACTCAGCGGGACGAATGTGGGAGGGCGGTAGTGTGGGGGAGGCGGGCAGGCGGCGGCTGCTGTGTGACCTTGCTGTGTTTGTAAACAGATACACGTTGCCGTCGCGAACTGTTACGGAGGAGCGCCATCGCGAGAGGAAGAAGCCGTGGAACCCTGTGTTATTGTTTACGAGCTGGTCGTGCTGCATCGTACGCAGAGGAGCGACACGTGGTGGTGACAGCATGGATATGGCAATGTGCATCGTGGAGAACGAGACGGTGAGTCCGCATATTTTTTTTCCGATCGAGCGAGCGAGCGAGCGAGCGAGCGAGCGAGCGAACGGAGCGCTGACAATGTGCTCGTGGCGCTTGTCGCAAACCTGCCTGTGGAAAATGACGAGTGTTGTCACGATCGGCGGGATTACATCATGTTGTGCAAAGAGAGTGCACGCGGGCTTAGCTTCCGATCTCGCGTGCGGACGCTCGTACGCGATGACTCCCGCGAATTGCTTTGTTCCGAACAGCTCGAGATCCAGAGGCAGTCGTGAGCGCTCGAGCTCGCTTTGACAAGGTCGTGGCGCGAAAGGGGCTGGGCGGGTGGTGAGGGGTTGCCGTTTAGCTGCCTCGGTGTTTTGTTCGTACGGTCAAGCTGGCGCCTGTTGTGTCGGTTGGGATTCCAAGCGACAGGTGGCGCGGCGTTATCCGTTCTCAACAGTCTCTTGTGTGCACTATACGATGGTGTTGCCTCGCTCTATATTCGATTCCTCGTCGATCAGCTGATAGCAGCTGCGGTTTCAGTCTGTCATTTCGATCTTTATTCCGTCATTATCTTTTCCGGCTCGCTTGTTTACGCGTGCGCGCCTTCGGAAGTGTAAACGTTCACGGCAACCGTGTGCACATTAGATAAGATGCACGATATGGATGTCGTTTTCCGTCCAAAATCAGTGTCAGGCTCACTGTTGGAAAATAATTTCGAAAAGACAAGTGCGTAATGCACGGAAGAGACCGGAAGAGAAACTGACACACAGATAAAACTTATACCACCGGGGACGGTAATCAGTAGCGTCGTCGAGATATCTCTATACAATGCTCAGACACCTAGCATCGGACGCGAGAGGCTCTCGATCCCCTTACACACGTCATGCTCTAGGCATCGGATAGGCGCGATTTAAACGCGAAGGTATGCTTTCACGAGTAATCGTGCGGTGGCGTCCGCGTCGTCACCGCGTTCTCATCGCGACCGGTCGCAGTGGTGCGGGCGCGTGCTACGCGTGTCACGTTCCTGATGAGCGAGTCTCTTAGCCCGTGAACTGCGCAGTTGACAGAGCCTGCACGACGCGTAGCACCGGTAAGTTTCTCTGTGGAGACATTTCCGCGCGATTCACCGCGTTTCCCGACAGCGTCGCGACGCCTCCGCTGGCCACGCTCGTCATTCATCGTACACGCACGTTTCGCGTAACGCGCGCGATGGGCGCCTCGTACATGGGCGACATGTGTGTATGTGCACTTCTCGCGATTCGTTGCCGAACCTCTTTACACCGGATCCGTGTGTCTCGCCACGACACGACGCGACGCGACGCGACGCTACGCGCGCGTGTGCGTGTGCGTTCTCGTTTTCTCGTGGCGTGCATCGCCACGAGAAATCAGGACGTGTGCTCATTGTGCTTTCCCAGTGACCGTCGTAATTCACTCGCGTCGCGACACTTGCTTCGCCGCGACGCCGTCACGCCGGCGAGAAATCCGGTCGATTTCGGAGCCCGCCGCCGAGCCGCGGGTTCCGCGTCGCCCACACGCGACGCTACTGCGCAATTCAGCGGTATGCGCATATCGGTGCATCGCGTCGCGTCGTGCCACGCCGAGAGAGAGAGAGAGAGAGAGAGAGAGAGAGAGAGAGAGAGGGAGAGAGAGAGAGAGAGAAAGAGAGAGAGAGATCGTCCTCGTTCGCGATTTTTCAGCCAGCTGTTCCTTCGCGCGAAAAACTACACGAAACGCGCTCGTGCGCGTGGCGTCGAATAATTGCTGGCTATTTCTGGAATAGATCGTGCTTCGCGATACCGTTATATAAAGTTCACGGTACCGTTATATAAAGTTACGCGCGATATAATCGTATTTGGCCGATTTACTTCCGAGAGAGCGACTCTCGCGCGCATTATTATTTTATCGATTAACCTGCCGCTTGATTATTTTTTGCGCGGTATAACTGAGCAACGTCACCGTCAGAGACGTGTTATATTCATTCCGGGCAATCGAATGCGGGATATAATGTTTATGTTTTTCATAAAACAAGTGTCACCTGGATTGTGACGTGTCACTTGCAAGTTTATGTTTTCAAACGGCTTCTCGTCAATCTATATCTGTCTCTCATCAGTCTGGTTTATATTAGTCAATTTTTTAAATATACATTTAATATTTACACACGCGCACATTCATTCGAACGGCGTAAAAATGTCTGGACTTCATTCGTGATAATGTGTAACGGTTTTATCTGCGTATTGCAGCATCGATTAATTCCTACCTACATACTTGATACCGTCTGTATTGACTCTCGCATTTATTATGACGGTGTAGGAAAGTAACTTTGTCGTCACGATTTAGTACGATTATTCTCTCTCTCTCTCTCTCTCTCTCTCTTTTGTAATGTTTCTGTGGAGAGCGTTTTTGCATCACGGTGGCAAAGTTATCGGAATCTTTCAAAGTGTATAGTTCTGAATAGGGGGAATTAAATAGAGAATACAGACAACGATCTTTCGTTTAAACCTCCTCAAAAAGGAATTCTACAAATTCGCGATCCAAAGAACGTGCTTCGTTTTTGAAACGGTTTTGAAACGACTATACGAAACTGCGTTATAAGAAAATACGTTGGACGCGGTCAGTCGGGAAGCAATTGGGCTCCGTAGGTGATGGTGTCGTTTAATGGTGTCGAATCTACGATATTTCCTTCGTACCACGTCTTTGTGTGGAAACCAGCTTCGCGTTCGAGTGGGAAGTCGTATGATTGTACGTGGTGATCGCTGTTGTCCTTCATATGCTTCTTCAAGCATTGTCGGCGACGATGCGCATGCTACGAAACGCTTCGATGCTCGTGGTGAAAACATTTAATCAGAATCGTAAGAGAGAAAGAGATACAGAAGGAAGGAAGGAGAAAGAGAAAATAGATAGCGAGGGAACCTTCGCGATTTTACGGAGAAGGGAAAAAGATAACAATGTATGATGCAACTTTATTTTTTCGGAACTTTGCGGTTGGTTTCGCGTCGTCGTATAATCTCACTGTTACGCATATACGCAATCGTCATATCCGCTTGGTTGGATCGATGGAAGAACAGTTGTACAGTTGTACAATTTACGTTTGAAGGCTTGTATCATATCTCTCCTAAAACTCCACACTTGAAAGTTCCTCAAATCGTAATTAGTTCCTCAGATACGTCACACACACACACACACACACACACACACACACACAATCCAACATTTCGTAGAAGAGAGGTTCGCGTATGCATTTGAAATCTTCAGCGTTGGCTCTCGAAATCTCCCGTAAAGGAAACGTTTCCAAGTATTTGTACTCGTTCGACTATCTGGGCGGTGACGTCATCCCTTTTGCTAAATTTCAAGGGAACTTCAACATTTCTCATCCCCGTCGTAGTTCCGGCTATTGTCGGTATTGTAAGCGTTATCGTACTCGTTATCATTACCATCACCGATGGTACAGCTCCAAGGTGCTCTGTTGCTGCTGCTGCCGCTGTTACACCGACGAGCATCGCTCCGGCAGTAACGAGCATCCTCGAGTCCTCATCGCGTCGTCACCGTCCGTTCCTTCCCCGTATCTCCAGCGAGCCAGGTTATCACGAGAAACGCGCCAGATGCCGCACAGTATTGTGCAAAAAGAGCCCCTCGCTAGATACAATATCTTTAGCGCAACATGTGACGACGCTCTTATAAATAATCCTCTCGTTTGAAGTTCGCGTTGTCGCGTCTCGAATTCGCCGATGAAATCTGCGCTTCATTTTTATTTAAAGAGTTCGAGCAACAGCAGCAGCGGCGGCGGCGGCGGCGGCAGCAATACACAGCAAATCCGTATACGAGGGAAAATCGCGTGAATCCCTTGACTCATATTTATTTCCTGTGCCTTTTACCGAGAACTTTCGCGTTTCCTTTAAGCATAAAAGAACGAGCGCATTAAAGGAAGGAATATTAAATGTAGCGAATAAGTATATTAAGTTTTTTTCTCAAGCGTTTGCGCAGCACTGCGCGCTGCAGAATCGCTTGCTCGTTACTTTATTTCACGTAATCTCGTATTTTCGCTCATCGTTCGACGGCAGCGTCGTGGAAACTCACCGAGCCGCGCGCCGTTCGATACGCGCGATGAACTCAGCGTGTTGTGTGCGCGCGTATCGCCCGCCGGTTCATTGTCTTTCGCGTCGCGCGGCACGGCGCGTTGAATCACTCTTATTTTCGTTTATGCGCGTATTGCGTCGACTATTGTAGTATCAGCCATCGATGTCTCTGCGCGAGACGCACAACGGGAGGAAATTTATATCCGCCTTCGAGATATTCCGAGATATTCCTCTCTGTCGTCAGAATCTCCGTTTCTCCTTTCGCGTATACATATATGCGTGCGTTCTTTATGTCGTTTGACTTTCATAAATTATTGCCGGCGATGCGGACGCATAAATCCGATCGCGCGCGCTCTCTTTGTTTCCTTATCAGGCCGCGTTTATATCAGGCTGCGGGAAAAGAGCTACGTTCGATTCTACGCATTTTATTCGCCGCACAATACACACGGACTCGTGTACAATTTTACCTTAACACCGTGACGAGGAGCGTAATTGTAATTAAATATGTTGTAAAAAATATACAGTCGTGGGTTTAACATTAAACAAACTGGAGCGATAAAAAGAATAAAACTTGAAACGAGCCGTCCGTAGATTATCGCGATAACGTACATTTTATTAGTCATGCGTTACTAAATACGCCGCACATAATTTCGAAACTTATAAACTCTTGTTCTGAAAATTTTTCATTTTTTAATTTTGCACCTGAATTTTTCCGGCTCTAGTTACAGAAGATTATGGACATGCCAGAGAGAGGAGAGGGGAGGAGGGAAAGCGGAGGAGGGAAGAGTGTGCTTTTTATTCTAATTTTATACCGAGATAAGAACATATTTTTGGCGCGCGATACGCGAAACGCGCAGCGGGGGCGACGGAATTTACGCGATTTTGGCGCTCACGCAATGATTTCGCTCGCACTAGCCATTGTGTTCGCGGAACATCCCCGTCCATTGT